GAAAACCATATAAGAAAGTGGCGCTTTCCACGTCATTCGAGTAAGGCCTTTGTCATGCACTATGTTATTCTAGCATGATTGGCAAAAATATTCGATGTGTCTTACTTTTTAAGGACATGTTTTTAAAATTTACTTTGTGTTTTAAAAATTGAAAATATAAGTAAATAGAACACGAAATAAAAATATTTAATCCCTGATTCACACTAGTCCTGTCCAATTCCCTATTTTGGACACAGCAAATACCTGATAAATTGCTTATTGGAATTCTGCCTACTCCATTGATAATTAATCTCAACACAAAAGTTGAAATTGAATGAAGAAACTATATTCTATCCAATCCCATCACAAATTTATACTTCTGTTTGCATTCCGATTCATAGAAAAACCCTTTGTATAACTGGTATTTGTAGGTATAAAATGCTGCTGCTATCTTCTTTCTGTAGTAATGAAAATGATAGCATCGGTATTTTGATTTTTTGACAGCAACGAAACATCTTGCTACAGGGTTTTCGAAGGGAAAATCGAAACACGATCGACATAGAAGAAGATGGAGGAGACATTTTCTTTTTATGGATATAGGAAACAACATGGCTTTGTTTTTCTCCCCCTTATCGTACTCTTTTATCCCAGCCTTAGGAAAGGGATTGCCTTGAAGCTCGAATGGTCAACAGTGACAACAAGCTTTCACTCTTCTTAGGACAGACCAATCATAAAGCTCTTCATCAGATTTGATTGAAACCAACTCATCCAAATCATGGTTCGATAACTTACACTTTAGATTCACCAAATGTCCACACAAGTCTCCAAATTTCACCATCAACTCTGAATATAAATATAGTCCAAAATTATCTCGATTTATCAAAATTGAATGACAAAAAAAATCAAATTAGGGAGAAAATAAAGAATAAGAAAAAGAAGAATAAGAAAGAAAGAAACAATTGACTTGCGAATGAAATGGGCAAGTTGACCGAAAGGACTCTAGTATGACCACTGTCGTAGCGCAGCATGACGTCATGCCCTTTAGTATATTGGGGAACAATTTGACCTCTGTAATTGTACAGGAATTTGATAGTATCCAAAGTCAGGCTTGATTCATGATATTCCCTCCATCCCATTTATATATGCTGACTTTCGTTATTTTCTTATCCTCAATTATAAAGTCATGTTTCTTTATCGAGAATGAATTGTTTTATTTGTTTACCAATGTACCATTATTTAATTTGCTCAGTTATCACTTTATCTTGAAATTGCATAAATATAAATAAGGGTAAACTAAAAAAGTTTTTGACAAAAATTGCTTTTTCAATAACATTAAATAAGATTTCTTAATCCGTGAGAAAAACAAAATCAACCTTTATAAATAAGACGGAAGGAGTAGAATTTAGTAAAAGAGACATAGTGAATACATTGAATACAAATAAAAGCTTCTATAGAGAGAGAAGAGGCTGAAAATCTGTTTGAATTTGTAGATGTATGAATCAAAGGAGAGAGATATGAGGCGTATTTATAGAATTTATATTATTCACTTCGTCCCATTTATATAGGCTTATTTTATTTTTCACACAAATTGAGAAATCTTATCTAATGTTATTGAAAAATCAATTTTTGTCAAAAACTTTTCTAATTTACCCTTATTTATATTTATACAATTTCAACATTAAAAGGAAAAAATTGGTTATAACTAAACAAATTAAATAAAAGTATATTAGTAAATGATTAAAACAAAATATTATCAACAAAGAAATGAGACTATATAATTGTGATAAGAAAATAAGGAAAATTAACCTATTTAAATAGGACAGATGAAGTATAATTCATCAATGATGATGGATTGCGACAATTCCAATTTGATTATTGTTACATCGGCATGTTCACTTTCATAGGATTTTGGAATCAATGTAAGACGATGTTTTGTTGTACATTAGAAGAATAATAGAGGTGGAAATAAAATATCTGATTGTGCTCAAAAGGCTCAGAAGTAAATTTTATATACAGCCAAACATGATAAAAGATTAATCATTTAATGAAATAAGATTTTTGTATTTATCAACGTTAAATTATTGAATTAAAATTTTTTAATGTGGACGTAAATTATTCGAGGAAGATTAAAGTAGCAAGTAAAACAAATAACTAGAATATTAAATAAAATGGAACCAAACCGTTTAAACTTATATGTTAATTTATATTAAACATATTACTATAATGTCGATAAGCAAACCGTGGATTAGAATGGAACCAAACCGCAAATTATGGTTTGGTTTGGTTTGATTTGATTCGAAAAATAAAATGGTTTGATTTGGTTTGAAAAAAAATTTAAATCGTATAAAATGATTTGAATTGAAATTATAGAACAAATCATCCAAATCGAATTACGTTCACCCCTAAGAAAAGCACGAGAAGCTATGTGGTCCTCCATTCGAGTTGGGAATAGTGGCCGTGGGTGAGTTGGAGAGTCGGTAACCGGGTCCGTCAATTTTCACTCGTTCGGCTCCAACGCGTTTGGACCGCGTCTGCAACACATAACCTGTTGAGCGGGACCCACTGAATTTGGCATTTTCTCTTTTATTTTCTTTCGATTTTCAACAACTTGGATTTTTCTTTACTTTTTTTTTTTATTACTTTTTCTTTTCTATTTTTTGGTTTAGGGCTTTGTAGTTTCGTCGTTTCTTCTTCATGGCCAGTAACTTCCAAGAACAAATACTTTTTTTTATTTTGTTATTTTATTAAGTGAACTTTAATTGGGTTATATATCTCAGAAGCCACTCAATCAACTTCGGAATTCTTTTCAACTACGGTCGACATCAAATTCGACTCAACCTCTAGATAAATGAGATAGTTACCTAAAATCCTTTCTCATTAATAATTAAAAAAAGACATATTTTCTTATATTTTATTTATAAACTGAATTTATTTTTTATTTTTTTGGGACAAAATCAATGATTCTTTTTTTCAAAAAATAAATTAATAAATTCTAAAATTAGACTGTCGGAAGGTGAATAATTAGAAGCCTAGTTTTCCTCGTGTATTTTGATCATTGTGCATTATTTCTTCAATATATTCATTTTCATTCATGCATTTGAATATTGCAAGTGCATTTTTAGTTATTGAGAATATGGCATATTATGATTCCTGTTGAGAATTGGGACAAATAATAAAGAGGAGAATAATATGAGCAATGTGAAAATAAGGGATCACAAAAAATAAAAACAAGATTTACGTGAAAATCCAAATCCAAAAAAATCATTGACAGGTGGAGAATTTATTATAATCAATAGTAATAATTTTTAAAAGATCTTTCTGAACCAACGACTAATTGGATAATTAATAAATTCCAAACTGTGTTGTACACCACAATATTATAACCATAGAATCTTTAACATACTTAAGAAGTTGAACATTGACAATGCCAAGGTAAGACAGCATCAACTTGATCATGTAATGGAACATACCTAACTTTTAAATTTTTACTTGAAATCTTTGTCTCTTACAAAATGCACATGCCCCACAATATGCTTAGTTCTTACATGGTAAATTGAGTTTGCTACAAGAACACTATCACTCGTATCATTGTAGCATGATAGAAGGTAATGGAGAATGGATCCAAGAAATCTCACAAGATGCATGAGCTAAAGCTGTTTAATATTGTGACTCTATGCTAGATCTTGCTACCACGTGTTTTTTCGAAGGCCATAAAACAAATGATTTATCGAAGAAAACACAATGTCTTGCAATTGATCTTCCATCATTTGGATAGCAAGCTAGTTAGCATCTGAAAACCCAGTGAGAGCAAGTCATCACAATGTTTGTATGGTGGAGTTCATAGTCTATTGTTTATTTCAGATATCTAAGTACTCTCTTTAGTGTCTACCAATGTGAAATTTTTGACCGTTGAAGAAAATGCATTGGTATGCCGGCTTCCTAAGACAAAGTTGAGGACGTACCTTGACCTAATCTTGTATAATTAGGGAATTGCTCAAGGCGTTGAGCTTCTAGATTTTTCTCTTCTTAATTTGTAAATATAGAAGTTCCATAAACTTTTATATTTCTTTAATATTTTTGTCTCACTTATCTTCAATTTAAGGACACTGAAATATTGTTCCCCATGCATTTTACAACTTTTCTCTTTTTATCTTTGGTTTATCTTTTTCTTTTTTCAATTTTGATCTCTCATATGTTCTCTTTCTCATTTATGCATTTGATTCTTAAAACGTGTTTTGCTTAGGGACATTTGGCATAATTTTGACTTCTACGTTTTTTTCTTATAGAATAATTTTATGAAAAAGTTACCTTAACGGGTGTTTGAAAGAGCTTTTACAAAGTCTCATTGAATCATATTCCTCTTAATACTCTTTTAAATAAAAGAAGCACCTTTTATAAAATTAATAGAATGAGTTCAATAATAATTTTTGGATCTCAAAAGTCATGCCAAATACATCTTTATAAAAATATGAGATGTTTTGATGCCTTTCAAACATATGTGAAATCCATAATTAGGTGTTACTTCAATTAAATGCCAATTATATACGAGGGAATGAATCCTTGTATTCGGCTGCCTCTTGCTTTTTGGACATATCAAATGTCGATGCGTATCTAAAGTAAAAACAAAGCCATTTAAGATCATGTATTAGTCAAATGACTATTACTTTAGAAAAATGCTCGGTAGAGTCGTCTAGAATGACGAGCCGATTCACAGTACTAAAGAGTTTGTTCTGAACTTTTTATGAACTCAAAAGGGTACCCTAAAATATGTGGTGTTTAGTGGGAATTAAAATTAGATATTGTTAGTAAATTGTGATAGAAGTTTTTTAAATGTGTAGTTGAAAAGTTATGGGACTCGTGGTGTCAAAAAAGAGAGTAAAAAAGTAAATAAGACCCGACTCTTATTTTTATTTTTTAAATTTAATATTTATTCAAGAAATAAAATATAACACAAAATGAAAATAGTTTATTCCCGCCTCATCCGTGTCCCTATTGTGAAACAGCAAATGCCTGATAATTGCATATTGGAATTCTGCCTACTCCATTGATAACAAATCTCAGCATCAAAATTGAATGAAACTGTATTCTATCCAATCACAACACAAGTTTATAGTTCAATTTGTATTCTGATTCATTAAAAAAAAAAAAACACTGTACTTGCAGACATAAAATACTGCTGCTAACTTCTTCTTTTTCCTCTCTACTAATGAAAATGGGGATAATTCGATCGAGTCAAAAAGTGCAAATGTCGACGACCCCTTCCTTCATAGCAATGGTATTTCGATTTTCCGACCGCAGAATATCGAGCCACGGGGCGTCCAGAGGGAAAATCGAAACATGAAATCGGAGAAGACGGAGGAGATATTTTCTTTACGGATATAGGAAACAAAACGGCTCTGATTTTCTCTCCCGGGGAAGCTCCATCGTACTCTTCTATCAAAGCCTTAAGCTCTTGGTCGGATTTGATTGAAACCAACTCATCCAAATCATGGTTCGGTAATTTACACTTTAGATCCACCAAACATCCGCACGAGTCTCCAAATTTCACCATCAACTCTGTATAAATTCCAAAATTATTTCGATTTAACCAAAACGAAAAGCAAATGTAAAAACAAAAAGCAACTGACCTGCAAATGAAATGGACCGATCGACTGCGAGGACTCTAGTATGACCACCCTCATAGCGTAGTAGCATGCAGTCACGCCCTTTAGTCGATCCGGGAACAATTCGACCTCCGTAACTGTACAGGAATTTGATAGTATCCGCTGTCGAGGCTTGATTCATGATAGAATTTAGTAAGAGAGAAATAGTGAAAAGAGATAAAAGTTTCTTTTTAGAAGGAGAAGAGGCTGAAAATTTGCAGCTTCAAGATTCCAAGGAGAGACATGAGGCGTATTTATAGAACTTATTGAGTAATGAGGATGGATTTTGATTATTCTTAAATTCACCTTTTCATTTCCATAGGATTTCAGAATCAATGCAAGACCGTGTTTGGTTGTACATCTATATAATAATAATAATAATAATAATAATAATAATAATAATAATCACATCAAGGGAAAATTATTTTTTGACGATTCTAGCCCTACTACAATTCAATTATTTCAATTATACATTCCTTTTGTTTTTCAATATATATTTAATTGAATGTTAATTATTACTATAAATGCATGTAAATAAATAATTGAATTGTATGAGAACGATCAAATTCATTCATGAACATAGAATTTAATTAATTTGAATCAATGAATATAGAAAAACAATAATTAATATACATTTAGATAAAGGGTGTGTACGTGAAACAACGTGAAATTTAAATGAATATAGAAAAAGAATAATTTATATTCATTTAGACAAAGGATGCATATATGAACCAACATGGAATTTAATTAATTTAAACTAATAGATATAGAAAATAATAATTTATATACATTTAGACAAAGGGTGTTATACCATAGATTAAATGAATAATATCAAAAATTAATAAGTGTACATGAACTTGAATAATTTATCTACTCCTATAGTAATTGATGAATAATTTTTTTACTCCTAGAATAATTGAATAGCCCGCAAAATATATAAATTGTACATGAACTCGAAGACTCGACATGATATTTAATATATCTATCAATAAACGTTAATTACTATACATGCACATACATAAATAATTGAATTGTAGTACTTCTAGATTAATTATATAGCCCCAAACATGTAAAGTGTATATGAACTTAAAGAATTAATTGATTGAATTATAGTAGGGTATATATAAATAAATGTTTATTATTATACATGCATGTAAATAAATAATTGAACTGTGCAAAAAGTTCATTTCACATAAACAATTTTTAACTATTTTTTATATTAGTGCATCTTCAAATATTACTTTTACGGCACTTATAAAATATTTCAGAATTACGTGCAACGCACGTTCACCTGTAACTAGTAAGAAGAAAAGAGAAAATTGGAAATAAAATATACACAATACTGTTTGTGCTCAAAAGTAAATTTTTTAGCTTCTTTGCATATTGATTACTTTTAAACACAGCCAAACATGATAAAAGATGAATCATTTCATGAAATAAGAATTTTTTGCATTTATCAAGGTTAAATTTAAATTGTTCGAGGAAGATTAAAATATTGAGTAAAAATATATACATAACTCCACAATTCCACTGAAGTGGCTGAGAAGTAGTACCTCTTTATCTACCTGGTGGCATAAGGCATTCCTGCTACTCCAATGAGCGTGTGTAATCTGAAAAATGAGGACTGGACTTTCTTCCCAATTTTACCTCTAACGTGAGAATCAATATACGATGTTAGATAAAAAAACAAGGACAAATTTCAGATAGCCGAAGTATTCTCTGTCATACCTATTTCGCCCTTTGACGTATTTATAGATGCTGGAAGTTGGGTTGTTACAGTGCCACGTGTTTCACGTAGCCTTTCTCACTACTCTCACGTTCTGAGTGGGGAGTCTTCAACTTCCGGCCAGTTGGTTGTACCTATGATAACTGTTACATGAATCTTATCAATTCATCAACGATTTTATGGTTAAGTGCTGAAATGGCCGGGTCAGTAATTTCATGCCGATTGACGGTCTTGTGTAGAGGTAGAGCATTCATGTTTGAATGAGGAATCAAAATGAAACCTAAGTGATAGTTAATAAAAGAGTATCTTATGTAAGTGATTGTTTTTCTGATGGGATCAGAACGGAATAGAAGAATGAAATGAGAGAGGAGAGAGAGAGAGAGAGAGAACATTTTTTTGGTTGAAGAAGTCAAACTAGATAAACGAGAAGAAGGGTGAAAATCAAATGCGGATTTCAGAACGAAATGTTTTGACATAAACAGTATTACATTTTTCGTTGAATTCTATCATTTTTTGTGAAACAGAATTTTATCTCTTTCATATGCACAATATTGGAAGTTTTCTTTTCTTTTCTTTTTTTGGAGGGTGTTTGAGCTCCACTTTAAAAAAAAAAATCATTTTAGAATAGTAGATTAATGATAAATGTGTGGTCCAAAAATACGGAAAATTTTTTTATTTACGTGTAATATTATTTTACTGAATAATGTGTAGCTGAAAAGAAAAAAGAGAAAAAAGTATTTTGGACCATTATGACTGAACAAAAAGTTCTCTCATAAGTAACTAACTTCTTTTTTTCTTATTGTTTTTTTCCACTAAACTCATTTTGATTCATCATTCAAACAAAGTCAGGATTGATTTTAATCGAACCCATTTAGAGTCTTTAATTCATTTTATCTTAGTAATTGATCACAGTTCGATTTTATTTTGTCATTCATATAGAATTTTGTAAGAGCATCTCTAAGATTACTATGGATGCCATGCATTCATATTGATTTTTTACTCGCCATTTGAGTCTGATTTAAAATTATTATTTTTAATTGGTTTGAAATGCCAAAATTATTAAAATAGCATGTTAATTGGATTAACGTGCCAAGAGGATGTTTGGTAAGGATTAAAATTAGATTTTTTAGGAGATTGTGATAGAAGTTTTGAAATGTGTGATTGAAAAGTTGTGGGATCAATGAAAGATATAATTAATATTGATTGTTTTATTTTGAATTAGATTAAAATCAAATTTTAATCGAAATCAAACAAACTACAAGATGATAATTATTTAATTGAAAACATAACAGTTTTTAGTTGGGACAAGCCGATCTCACGGTTGACCAACGGTCTCCTTGGCCACAGAAGTTTTTTAGGCCCCCATTTAATTTTCATTCTTTGGCCACAAAAATGAAAAATATGGGGGAGTTACTTCAAGAATTGGATGACCATATGATTACTGTAATTTCTTCTTTTTGGGATAATGTTCATGCAATGAATGGGATTTCATAAATTCTGCATTGTAGGAGTCTATGAAGTTAATAAGATTTTTTCAATGGGATTTTAGTAAATTCTGCATTTTAATGATATTCTACATTTTAAGATGCACATCTAGCATATTAGTTGTAAAGTTCATGGTTTGATGGCTTCTTTACAATTCTAATGTTCAATGTAATTGAATTATGCAATTTGCCCTAAATTTAATCTCAGCTTACAATATTTTGTGCTTTATTCCCAACTTATGATGCTAGGAAAAAATCAAGGAGTACGTCATAGTTGTAGAGAAAATGGACATTATTTTGTAGTCTGTTCAGCGAAACGTCGTTGCCCATGGTACGACCATGCATTCGTCAAGTCTTTTAATGTGGAGAAAGAGAGCAAGAACAAAGGTAGATTATTCAATACCTGTACTACAAAATGTGGATATTAGAAGTGGGTCGAAGATGGTGAGACGAGCGGTGACTCAAGTGCAATTAGCAGGACTTCGAAGAATCATGTGACGAAAGAAGGAGCTGAAGAACTATTTTCCACATTTCAATCTTGATGCTGATAATCTGATCAAAAGGATGTGAAGACTTTCAACACGACAATGCACAAAGGAAGAGCAAATGCGGACGAAGATAAGAAAGGAAATGGACATGAAGGAGTTGCAGTAGTTAAATGTAACGACCTTATCTTACTTATGTATTTGATGGATGTATAGTTTCATTGGAATGTAGTAGTTAAGTAATTTCATTTTGTAATAGTAGTTTCTGTATGAAAACTTTATTTCCTGTGTGTATATGGTAGTGCTGTTTATTTTTATATGTATGTATTATCATGGCTATGCAAGGGTATAATTTCTTGTAATTTGTAGGAGGTTTAGTTCATTTCCCTTACATTGTCTAAATAGGAAACTCAAAAGGTCATCATGTTGATGACATGGCATATTCTATTTTATGGCATTCAAAATTTAAGCTAAAAATTGTCTTCTGATGTATGGAGAATATTTAATCTCGAGCTTTTAGATATTACTTGGATTTTCTGTTTAGCAAACTTATAAGAGTTTCGAGTTTATTTTCTTGATATTTTACCACCAGTTGATGTAGGATTAGAAGAGGAAGTGGACAAGTTGTGAGTGGTGATAAATGGGTGGTTTACACTCCCAAGAACCTACCTTTGCAAGGTTGAGCCTGTGCAACCCAAGTATTTTGCATTAGTTTTCTATGACACTAACATTTGATGAAGTCGTCTGGTCTAATTAATTGTCTGTATATTATGAGTCTGGAAATGGATCAATGGATGGTGGTTTGGTTTCAATTAGAGATTCAATATCAGATTTCATTCTCACTCAATGTACCATGTAATAGACCAGTTAGGCATTTCATTGACGTCTCAAACTGTGTTGAGGATTCTGATTAAATCTCTTTGTTGTGCACCCCACAACAAAACAACAAATGCATTACAGCACATCACCACCACCGGCCATCGAAAATCAATGTCCAAAAAACCAATTGCGTTATGCATTGCCTTATCCTGATTGATAATTATCCCATTAGGAGCTTGGTCATTCATGTACTACAGCCATGTCCGAAAAAGCTACAAAAATGTATCGGTATCCTCGTTTGATATGAGCCCACATTCGAGGAGTGTCGATTGTCCATGATGGTTCACTTCGACAAAAGGAGTGAACGACATATCATACTTGTTCGTTAGATATGTGGTATGAAATGTGATTACATCACCAAACTCTATACATGCCTGCCGACTCCTATTATCTGCTAGAAAATATTCTTCAGACACGACTGTTCGCCAAAATCAATACTGAAATAAAACCCTAAGCATCGTGCTTGCATAATAGAAAAGTATGACCGTATTGCCATGGTGTCACCTTCTCCAAGTCTTAACCTCCTAACTTGTTCAATGTAGTTTTACAATCCTTCTTGTCACAGGTCATATTTTCATATCCACCTGTTTCAACAACTGCAGAGTTGAAACTTTTGTACAATGGTATTTCTGCAACGTCATTTACTTCAA